ATACCGCAGACTGCCAGGAGATTGAACAAATCTGCCCTGGAGGATGTGCAGCCGGAACCCGCCTTGGAAGTGAGAATGACCAGACTTCATCTGACCTACTTTGGTCAGTTGTCAGACGGGCCCATTCCCTGGAGAAGGATGTCATGCTTGGTGAAGTGCAGGGTCAGAGAAGAAGGGGAGGGCCCTCACCGAGACGGGCTGACAGAGAGGCTGCCGCGATGGGCTCAGGCACAGCCAGGACTGCAAGGCTGCCGCAGGGCCGGGCGGCTTCGTTCTGCTGTACACGGGGCCAACTCGCCAGCACCTGACAGGAACAACAACAGGTTTCCTCGTGCTTTCCGCTGGAATGCCTTGGTTTTCCGGATACCACTCCCCGAGCTGGTGTCCGCCCCGCCCCTCGTGGCCCTGGGCCACCCTGCGGCCCTCTGGGGAAGCAGGCCCCCCTTGCCACAGTCGCCGGGCCGCCTTTGTTTCTGGAGGGTTTTCAGATGCTTTCTTGATGTCTGTCCTGTGAGTGGCTGCTGCTTCCTCCCTCGGATTCCTGGAGGTGCCCCAGGTCGAGTGCATCTCTGACTTTGTAGTGCAGTCCCGGCCTGACCCCTGGGGTCGCGGGGGCCTGGTTGGCCTCCACTTGCCTGGTTTTCAGAACGCCAGCCACTCTCCACACGGGAGCCACTCCTGGTGTCTGTGTGGGTTTCTCTGGTGTCAGTTTAGAGTTAGGTTGCTGGCACACAGTGAGCAGGGCACGACTGTCCTCATCAGACTGAGAGTTCAAATGCCATCGGCACTGACTGCGTGTGGACTTTGGCAGCCTCGGGCCGAGAAGCCCTCTTGGGTCCAGGGCAGCTCTCCTGCTGGCCAGTCTTTCTTAACGATTCCTTAGGAGAGGCCCCACTTCTGGGTTAGCTGGGTCATCTTTCTTTGCCACTTCTAGATCAGCTGCTGGGTCTTTTTTATTTTAAAAAAAATTGTGATTTGGGTGAAAATTTATAGAGCAAATTTACTTTCGTACAGCAGCTCACATATACTTTGTGACTGCAATTTCCCACAATGCAACAGCTCCCCTCCCACTTCTTCCCATAGTTACCTCTTCCCTGTGTCCTTCCCTCCGTGCACTGCTGCCCCCTAAGCTGTCTCCCTGTGCACACACAGCCCTTCTATTCTCCCATGATTGATCGCTCCAAGGAGTGTATCTACTTGATATAAATGTTCAGTTCGTATACCTGTCTTTTGTTTGCCTGGAAGCCACAGGTGTGGGTTCAATTCCAGACCTGAAGGGCAGCTAGGGGCCATGGTCTCAGTGGTTCCACCAGGCTCTATCGACCAGCAAACCTGGTCTCCCCCTTTTCTTTTCCCCCAAGTGATTTTGAGTTTTGTTCCACGTTGTTCTCCCTCTCTATCCAGGATCTCCTACATAGATCCCCCTCTGAGTGGTTGACAGTGATAGCCAGGCACCATCTAGTTCTTCTGGTCTCATAGTAATATAGGCTGAGGATCACATGGTGTACCAGTCGCCCGACCTAATTGTTCCCATGTGTCTTTGGTTTTCTTCATTCTTCTTTGCTCTGGATGAGGAGAGACCCATTGTTGCATCTAGATCGCTGCTTGCAAGCTTTTGAGATCACAGTCGATACTCGCCACAGTAGCAGGTGGAAGGATGTTTTGTGTAGTGTGTTACGCCAGTTGAGCTTGATGTCCCCTGCGACTATGGTCCCGAGTGCTGGTCATTTTTCACCACTTCAGGGTCAGCTGGGTCTTTTTTATTTTGGCAGAATTTGATCCATTCACATCTGTACTTTCTGAACCCGTTTGCCGTAGCCTGTGTCGGGCAGACTTGGGTGAGCAGCCTCTAGCCCCGGGCTCGGGGAGTAGTGTCCAGGGGCAGCAGGCCTGGACATGCTGAGCCACGCATTGCTTGTTCCCCTCAAGACCGCTGGGTGAACCGGGGCCTGCGGTCCCTGGAGGCCCACCCTGGGCAGGGTGGGAGCTGGAAGGCACCCGCACAGGTGCTCCGCCTGTGAGCTCTGGGTTCCAGGTGGGCTCCGAGCCACGGGGCGACCCAGGCTGGGCGACAGAATCCACGTGCTTCCTGATGCTCCTGCCTTCTTCGCAGCTTCATCACCTTCCGCTCCTGTGCCTACCTGGACAAGAAGCACACCATCTTTGGGCGGTAAGAGCAGACCCTGACCGCAGCCCCCCGCCTGTCCCGCACCACTTCCTGTCTAACGCCTGTGGCTGTGGCCAGCAGGCTCTGTTCGTCCCGTTGGGCCAGTCGCTCCTGGTGGCCAGCTTGTCCTGTTCCCAAACCCTGTTTCTGATATGCCGCACCCCATCTTATTCCTCCCTCTGGACCAGAGGTTGGCCACACTTTTGTTTTCAATTCTTTTTGTGATTTGGGTGAATGTTGACAGAGCAGATTCGTTTTCCATATAACAGTTCATACACCTTTAGTTTCATGGCATGGACTGCAGTTCCACACCATGTAACCACTCTCTTCCCGCTTCCTCCCTGTGGTTACCGAACAGGGAGCTGTGTCCTTCCCTCCCGTGCACTGCTGCCCCCAGCTGTCTCCCTGGGCAAGCACTCCCTTCCGTCTGTTTTCCACGGGAGAACAGAAGGGCACACTTTTTTGCAAAGGGCCGGACGGTCCCTGTCTCTGGTCTGCGTCACAACCCTCAGCTCTGTGGCCACAGCTTGGAAGCACCTGCTGACAACGTGTACTGAATGGGTGTGGCTTTGTCCAAATAAATCTATTTACAAACATGCAGGAGCCAGGCCCCCCTGGCCTCCTCACAGCCCAGCTGCTACGGTAGGGCTGCTGTGCCACTCTGTCCCCACCCTGCTCATCTGACCGTGTCACCCACGCAAGAGCCCTCTTCCTGGAATCCCTCGGGGACTGGCTGGGAGGGGGAGCCGGGGTGGGGCGCTGCTCAGACCTGCCTTTCCCTGCAGGGTTGTCGGGGGCTTTGACACACTGACAGCCATGGAGAACGTGGAGAGTGACCCCAAAACTGACCGCCCCAAGGTAGGTGCCCAGGGTGGGCCCATGGCCCTCCTGCTGCCTGCAGGCTGCAGCCTCTGGCCTGGGCCCCCAAAGGAAGCGGAGGTGGAGGGGCCGCAGCCCCTGACCCTGCCCTCCCCCTCCCCCCACTGTCACTAGGAAGAGATCCGCATTGAGTCCACCGTGGTGTTCGTGGACCCCTACGAGGAGGCGGACACTCAGGTGAGGGGTGCAGGGCTGCCACTTTTGGGGGGGCCCACGGGCGAGTTTTCCTCCTCATGGGGGTGACAGGCGTGCAGACCTGCGAGTCAGGCTCTACTGGGGGAGGCACTGCCGGCTTCCGCCCCTGGCCCAGCCACGCCCCTGGCCCAGCCACGCCCCTGGCCCAGCCACGCCCCTGGCCCAGCCACGCCCCTGGCCCAGCCACGCCCCTGGCCCAGCCACGCCCCTGGCCCAGCCACGCCCCGCTCTCCCCAGATCGCCCCGCTCTCCCCAGATCGCTGAGGCCCGGAAGAAAACACAGCTGACCGAGGCAGTCGTGGAGAGCGCCGTGGGGATGAAGCAGCCCCAGCCGGGGAGCCCAGGCCCCCAGACGTACCGCCAGGGGGTGGGCAAGTACATCTGCCCAGCGGCCACGTGAGTGGGGCCGGGGCGGCGGGGCAGCGTGCATTTCCTCCGGTGTGGCCACGGCCGCGGTCCAGCCCAGCTGGGGCAGTGGTGGCAGCAAGCTCGGGGAGCAGGGTAGGGCCGGACGGGCTGTGCCCGTGGGGGCAAGTGTGGAAACCGGGGGCCGGGGCCAAGGGAGTGTCCCGCCGAGGGCCTGGCCACGTGGACAACAGTGGAGTCTGCCTCTCGTCCCCACAGGAAGCGGGCGGCAGAGGAGGAGCCGTCCGCCAGCACAGCTGGCCCCACAGCCAAGAAGAGGCCCGGCTGGGGCTTCGGGGACTTCAGCTCCTGGTAGCAGCCAGCCTGCCCCGTGCAGCCTGCCCTCCCTGGAGACGCAATAAAGCTGGAGCCCTCAGCCCGTTGTCTGGTGCCCTGGCGAGAGCTCCTCCGGCCCGGGGCCTCCCTGACCCGGTGCACACTGTCGGAAGCTCCCATCCCAGGCGTAGACCCTCACCCCAAAATAGAGGTTCTTGGACTCGAGAATTCAGAATCCCAGCTCGTCTGGCTTGCTGAGAGGCCTGCCCCTCCCTCCCTCCCTCCCTCCCTCCCTCCGTGCCTGTCTGTCCCCTGGGAGCCTGTGCCCCTCCCCAGACGCCCCCAGCCCGTCCCCAAGGATGATGGGCAGCACCCAGGGATTCAGTGCTGACGGGGGGGCGCCCCGCTGTGCCCAGGGCTCAGGCACTGCTGCTCCCCAACCTGCTCAGATGTGGCCGGGCCCGTGCAGTCGCGCCCCCCAACGTCTAGCCCCCTCCCATCACCCCTATTCTGTAAAACATCGCCAGAAGTTTCCCACCTCCCCCGGCTCCCAGCCAGCCCTCAGCCAGTGGCAGCCTGACCTGTCTCCTGATGCGCCGAGTGCAGCCGCGTCCTCCCAGGACAGCGGCCCGTCTCCCCGTCCCAGGCACCCTCACAGCGGCCCTGCCTGCTGGGCTGTCTGACCTCCCTCGGCCCCTCACGGGAGTCTGATTGGGTCCTCAGGTCAGTCTTCCCTCACCCGAGACCTGTCATTCTTTGCAAGTCTTGACGGCTCTTGGCTTCTGCTTCCAGAACGTTTCTTGGCCTTGCCCCCGTTTCCAGCTCTGTCGCTGGCATCAGCCGGCCCTGGGAGGGTGCAGCAAAGCCTCCCCTCGCTCCCGTCTCTGCCCGCCAGGCGGTCCCCAGGAGACAGGCACAAGCTGAGTGCCTCCCATGCCCCGCCCGTGTCCCCCCTCAGGGGCCTTTTCCAGGACCGCGCCCCCCTCACCTGGGCGGGGACAGCTGCAGGAGGAGGCCGCTGAGGAGCAGGCCCCGGAGCCCCCTCCGGGGGGGGGGGCTGGGGGCGCCCAGCTGACGGAGCACAGTGTGGCCTGGCCCGGGGTCCAGTAGCCACCCAGTTCCGCTGTTTGGACTCTGACAGCTCGGCAGGGCCTCCTGAGACGGGGACCGGGGTGACACTCGGTAGTCCACAAGACAGTGACATTGAGAAGTTTATTTCGGAAGGTCACAGCGACACAGAAGGGACCGCACATGGCAGCACCGCCAGGGGACACAGTGGCGCCGGAGGCGGCTGGACACTCCAGGCGTCGGCCACTGTCCCCGCAGCTGCTCCGGTGCCCAGCGCCGCCCCCACGCGCCCCGCAGGGCTGAGGGCAGCAGGCACGGGGAGCTTGGCATCTGCATTTCTGTGGTTACTTTCAGGCTAAAACTCGTTTTCTCAGCACTCCACTGCCTGGAGTTTGTAAGCACCTGGTGGAATCATCAGGCCGATTAAAGGGCTTTTGAGAAAATTCCCATTTCTGATCTTTCTGATCCCTGACAGATGCCGTCAAGAATAAGTTACCTATAAAAATACTGTGTGTGTAGAAACAGTAACACGAAACCCCACTCCCCAGAGCCATGTGTAGGTCACACAGTTGTGACCCTGGCATCACCTCCCACGGGTTTCAGGAAAAATATTTTAAATAATTTAAATAAAATGCACTGGGACCACAGCCACCGTTTAGGAATTTAGGGGGGGGGGGCATTCCAGGACGGTCCACCAGCACGTTTGCTGGCGCTGCTCTGGACCGGCTCTTTTCACTTCATTTGGTTTGAGAAGGGCCTTGTCTACTGCAAACCAATACACAAGCCATGGGATTCTGTTGAGGTCAGTTACAAAAATATACAAAGTCATCCAATCGGTGGTCAGAAAAACGTTCCGCGTTCAGCACCGCCACCAAAGACAAAACAAGAAGCCAAAGTGCTCAGAGAAGGGGCAGGAAACACGCCCGAAACATACAGACTTTAAACATAATCTCAGTACAAAAGGTTCTTTCCCTGTGAGAGAACCGTCTGGCGGAGCAGGGCTCAGGAGCTGCCCCTCCCCCACCCAGCGGCTCTGGTGTCGGGGCCACCCCCGCTGCACCCCACCCTCTGAGCCCCAGCACAGCTGTGGGGCTGTGGGAGAGAGGACCTAGAGGGGGAGTGTCAGCTCAAGCTAAGTTCTCAGTGAAGCTAAGGGCCTGGTCCTTAGGAAGATGCCTGGTCATGTGAAGGCAGAGCGTGCAACTGTGTGGCCGTCCCCAAGCGTGGTGGCCTCACATGCCGCCCTGGGCAGCAGGACCACGGCCTGGTGCATGTCTGCTCTAAATGCTGGCAGTGCCTGGCAAGACACTCCCTGCCAGGAGGCCCTCAAGCCGCAGCAGGGATGAGCGTATGAAGGGTGACATGGGACCCACATGCCACTTCATGGCCGCCAGGCCCAGAGTGGGCCAGAGACAGCCCACAGGTCAGTTCCAGGGCCGCGGGGCCAAGCCAGCAGCGCACCTGGCAGCCCACGGGGCTCTGGGTGGCGGAGGGTCTGAGGCACTTCATCGGGCTCCAGGTGCTATGGGTGCCCCACCCCTTGTGCTTGGCATGGGGCTACCGGTCCCGGCCCTGCCCCTGCCTGCCAGCGGTGGGCCCAGCCATGAGGCAGGCAGAGCCGTGCTCTGTGTGGTACGACATCTTTCAGGGGCCTGGCCACCACGGGCCCTGGCTGTGCGCTGCAGCTCCGTCCACCCAGCAAACCAGACAGCCTCCCTTACAGAGTCGGACGTATCTGGCAAGGTTAGCCTTTTCTGAACACTTTTCCCACCGTCTGGCCCGTGTGGAGAACTGTCTTCATCTTGAGTTGAACCTGTCCCCACTGGGTCTGGCCTTTCACGTAAACCAAAGTCACCACGTCGTTCAGGACATCCAAGAGGAGCCTGAAAGTGTCCCTGTGTGGAACAAAGTGGCTTGCCAAGCACTGGGCCACCACTACCGTCTGGAGGTGGCCCCGGGATCGGACACCACCAACGCCGGCCCTGTGGAAGGGAGCGGGCCCTCTGCCCCTGACACCCGGCTCACTGGCTTGGGAGGAGGACTCCGGCGTCACAAAGACGCTCCCAATGGACGCCCTCCTCTGTCAGGGCTCACCTACAGTGTCTTCGGGGATGCTCCGGGGATCTGAACCAGGCTAACAAGACCAGGCTAGACGGAGCAGTTCATTGCCTTCTCTAGAAGATTCTCAGTGTGCAAGAGGAAGAAGCAATGTGTAATTTCATGAACTGAAATAAAAAAAGGAAAAAGGACAAGCCCTCGAAAGGGGAATGTGTCTGGCTGCGTTTAGCCGCTAACCAGAGGCTCGGCTCTGCGCAGAGGCCCTACAGACGGTTTTAGGGATGGACTGAAGTCCTACTGCGCAGGTGAGGTACAGCCAAATTGCCCATCCGAGGTGTGAGGGGACGGAAGACAGGAACTAGACAGATAAGTCACCAGCTGGTTAATTCTTTCTCTAGAATGTGCAAAGTTAGAAAATGGTCTTTGAAAGTGTCTGAAACAACCATTTGTGTACACGAAGAGGACAGGTCAGACGGTGGGCCTTACCCACGGAGCCAGCGCAGGGAGCGTGCGTGCTGAGAGCCACTCGGCGGCCTGGGAGGCTCACACGGTTCAAGAGATGTGTCACCCAGGACGCTGGCAGGTCCCCGTGACACGGTCCGGCTCGCACTGCAGCATTCGGGTGGCTGGCAGGCCACACGCTACTCCCAGCCGTTGTCTTTGATCATGTGGGCGAGCTCAATGATAAACTTGCCCTCTTTGTATTTCTGGCTGTTCTCAAAGGCGTGCTCCTGGAGAAACAAGAGTGGAGGGGCCGTCAGGGCAGAATTGGCTTCACGTTGCAGTCCCACTATGCGACCAGCAGAGCAGATAAGCTCCGGGACTGTCTGCACACACACACGTGGCTGCGTCCCTGTCTCCCCTCTGTGTGGAGAGCACCCGCTTGCCTCCCGCCCAGAGGGAGGATGTCTGAGGCTGGACTCGTGTCTGTCGTTAATGATGATGAAACCTCTAGGGAAGGATGACTTTGAATCAGCTTGTGCTGAGGGGCTCTGGTGGTGGAGTGGTTAAAACAGGGCTGCTAACCAAAAGGCTGGCGGTTGGAACTCACCAGCCCCTCCCTGGGAGAAAGATGAGGCAGTCGGCTATTGTGAAGATTGACAGCCAGAAATTGACAGGCTGACCCTGTGGGGCAGTTCCACTCTGTCCTCTAGGGGCGCTGTGAGTCAGAATGGACTCCACATGGACTGCCTATGGGCGGCCTCTTATCTTTAGACCCTAAACAGGCCCACCAGTGCGGCAGAGCCATCTGCCCGCTTGTCACTGCAAAGAAGTGTTCCCAGGGGTGGCTAGGCCTGACAGCCAGGCCTTGGGGACCCCCTGCCTCAGTGGAGCCAAAAGTCCAGGCTGCGAGGCGGGATAGCAGTGCCCTCAGCCAGTGGGACGGCTCCCTGGAACAGACACTGATTTTGTTGACAACGCAGGTGTGGCCCGCGGGAACCATGCACGCCTTTCACCGGCCTCACTGAAACTCTACCCAAAAGGTGCCTGCTCTGTTGGGCTCCACCACGCCACCGGCAGGAGCCTCAGTCCTCAGCGTGAGCTGTGTGTTTGGGACAGGTTTTATTTCTGACAAGCAGTGGGCGCGTCGGGCGACAATCGGACAGATACTCACGTATTTCCAGCCCAGCGTGGTTTTGCAGTTGTCACAGTAAATGTCAGCGACAGCGTGTAAGCCCGTAAGGAGGACACGCTCCTCAGCCGGGCCGCAGCCCACGTTCACCCTGCAGGGAAGAAGGGGTGAGGGGCGCGCTGGGGGCCTGCAGCCCGGGTGCTCGTGGCCCGCGCGCCTCAGTTACGATCTGGAACATTCCAGAGCCCAGCAGTGCGGCTCCGCCCCTCCCACCCCCTCCCCCTGCCCCTGCCAACCACCGCCTTTTAGGAGATCAAACCGCTTTGGATTTTCCCACGGGGATCCCGGGATGGGATCAGCTCTGCACCAGCACCTGTCGTGTGCACAAAACAATAAACCAAAATGTCCAGGGAAGAGTCAATTCTCCCATGAAAGAATTCGTTTCGCTTTTAGGGGGCTCCAAGACTAGAGAACACAATCCCGTCAGGTCATGGGTGGGATGGGTGGGCGGATTCCAGCTTTGAAGAACTAAATAAAGGGAGCTCTGCTAGCATAGTGGCTAAGACACTTGCCTGCTAACCAGACGGCTGGCGGTTCAAACCCACCAGCCACTCCTCGGAAGGAAGGT